TAGTCTTGTGTTCATGCAACTGACAGATAGGATACCAAATTATGATTTTAACATAGCTTTTTTGTTATTTGTTATTACTCTATTCTAGAATTTTTAACTAGACACTCTTTGATTATTGCACTGGTCCTAGACTGTAATAAACATTTTGAGTGATTGCTGTAAGAGCTAATGGAAGTACATCTAAATTGTAACCTTAAGGGAACCTATTTCTAACTTTTTAAATCAGACATAATAAGTTAATTTGATTCTTTATTCAACTATTAAAAAAAGATGACTGTGCTGTTCTTCTGCTTCGTCATAGTCCACCAAGCCACGTGACTTCCTATTAAGATTATACTTTTAATTTGAAAAACAGACAAGAAAAAAAGAGATACCCTACAACAGCTTGCATGTACAACAGGCAGGGCTAAGATATTCAGAATCTTGAGACTAAAAGCTTATCACACCAGAGAGGGGAACTGTAAAGAGGACAAATAAATTAAAACTTGAGAGCCAGTTTTCCTAGAAAGCAATCAAGTGCATGACATATAGAAATGAACCTAATTTTTAGTCTGAGTTTTAAAGCCCTATTTCAAAAACAGACAGCTTGAGAAATGACAAGAATATTAGGCTACATCCTCTTCCCACATGTTTCCCTTATGAAGTCCATTTGTTAAGGTTAGAACTGTACTCAGAATGAAAGCAAATTAATCTTCCAGAACCGCTAGTATGTAATTAAGTCTTGGTGGTTATATATCACACATCATGCACCAACATCACACACCAACAGACTGTGAATGTCTTTTCAATATTAGTCTGCAAGTGCACATTTCACCATGTGGTTTTATCAGTTCAATAAGGAATGTAACTAAGTTCACAAGATGAAACAGAGTACAATGTAATAATAATTATGATGCCATTTTTCCATTATCTCCAGCCAGCATACTGCCTGAAAAAGGACGTTGTATTCCAACAGATATTTGAAAGTCATCAGGGGAAAGGCTATTCTATATGTTACCGCCATGAACAGAGGACAGGTAATTTCCATGGAGAGAAAGTAAATGTATTTATATTTTAAAATTCAATTAACTCATTTATATAACAATCACCGTGCTGTAGTTCAATGAAAGCAATATGACTATAGATGTGTGAATTTTACTACAGTTGTAGTCCATTAAGAACATTTTTTCCCTTTCATATTCCCAGGCATCACATCAGTCTTGATTTTATGGGACGTGTATAACAAAGGAAAGTCTCGACTGGTAGCCCATTTTCAAGAACATAGCTTAATACTGATTTTTNCTTCTGCTAAGCAAAAAGGAACACAACAGGGAATCTTGAAGAAAGAGGACAATCTTTCGCAGAATTAAGCAGAGAGAGTGCATTATTAAACAGCAGGAATGGTTTCCCAGGTAACATTGAAATTTGCCAAAATGCTGTTTCAATGTGGTGATAAAGAAACCAAGACACTATCAGTGTGTCAATAGAGACTAAATAGAAATCCAAGAGGCTGTCAGCAATCAAACAGAATGAGCATTCATTGGAAGGATAACAAGAGGGAAAAACAGCTTGTATTGTATTACCCAACATACAACATGAACACAAAGGTGTTGAAATTGCACATCTAGGAATAGCAACTATTGTTAAAAATATATCATAAAAACAGTAAAGATACAGCAATCAGATTTGTTCACAGGAAGTAGAAAAAGAGCATTTATAGAATGCCTAAAATTAGTTCAACTGTTTGTGCAGCTATATTATTCCAAGCCGCTGATACAATCCTTTCTCCTTGATATCCACATTTTAAAAACTTGAGCAGATGCTGTTTGATATACTGTACAGGCAGAAATATGGGCACCAATATGCCCCCAACACTCTTTGTATCACCTGTCAGGCTTTTTACTTCAACTGATATAATTTTTTGAAATAATGCTCTAAGAAAATCCTCTTTTCTTAAAATTATAGGTTTTCAAAGATATTTATTGCCATGGAAGACAAAGACTAGTAATATGCAATTATTTTGTAAAATATAAGTTATTTAGCTATATAAATATAAAACATAACTTATATACTGTAAGTTATTAATTTTGCTTTAAGAGCTTTCCTGATAATTAATAGGTATCCAACAATTTATCTTTTAAGATGAACGGATCGTAGTCATAGCATAGGTAATTAGATTCTGCACAGCAGCACTAAGAATTAGTTGGAACTTGATGAATAAACCATTTAGCTATTTTACATAATTAATGCACCAAATGTTTTCATATTATCATTTTGTTGCATTTTAGTATCTAATGACTATATGCATTCACAATTTCAGGACTAATATATTATATAGCTTAAACCACAAGTGTCAAACTCGCGGCATCAATGTTGCCGTCAAGTGACATTTTGCAACATTTTCCCCTTCACAACAGTTGCGAAGCTAGGGTGGGTGTGGCCTGCACAGGACGCATCCGGTCCAGGGGCCACCAGTTTGACAGTCCTGGTTTAGGTCATAGTCTTGTGTTCATGCAACTGACAGATAGGATACCAAATTATGATTTTAACATAGCTTTTTTGTTATTTGTTATTATTATTTGCTGGTGGTATTATTTTCCTCTTATTGACAT